CGACTCTGAATGGCATACAGCTCAAAAGACAGGCACTTGACATGGCACGATCGCAGACCTTTAGTGACCCAAGGCTGCAATCAGAGCTCAAGATTCTTGAGAAACTTGTGCGACCACTGGTGTTGCAAGACCAGCAGAAGTGGTATGCAGAGTGGCTCAATGATATTGATGAAGCCGGTGCGCGACATGACACGGCACAGGTCTATAAGAAACTACAGAGACTCGGTCGAAGGCGCAAGGATCTTAGTAAAGGTCCTCGACCGTTGCCTTGTTTGAAAAAGACTGATGGCACGCATGCCGGTTCTTTCCAAGAGTGTCAGACGATATGGCGGCATCAGTTTGCGAACATTGAAGCTGGAGTTGAAGTGTCCAGGACACAACTGGCACAGCTGCATGCCTCGAGTGCAACAATTGTAGCACGAGAGCTGGAGAGTGTTCCAGGTCCATGTGACATTTTGGCAATTGTTCGTAGGTTCAAGAATGGAAAGGTGCCAGGGCCAGGACAACTGCCAGTTGATATCCTCAAGAGTGGAGGATTCGCCATTGCGAAAGTACTCACGCCTCTGCTCACAAAGGCAATTTGGCATTTGCATGAGCCTCTTTCCTGGAAGGGAGGGTTGCTAATCCCTCTGTTTAAAGGGAAAGGAGCACCAAGTGATGCTGCGGCCTACAGATCGATTTTTATTTCGGATGTTTGTGCAAAGGTACATCATGCGCACATGAGACAACGGCTAGCAGATGTTTGGCAGCAAGATGACGTGCTTATTCAGTTGGGGGGGAAGAAGAAATGCTCGACTGACATTGCACATCATCTTCTACATGCACATTTGTCCTGGGCTAGACATATGACCAAGTCGTGTGCTATCCTTTTCGTCGATCTGCAGTCAGCATTTTATTCCATCTTGAGGTCCTCGCTGTTCGAAGGTGAATTTGGAGATGAAGCTATTTGCTATGCCATGAAGCATCTAGGAATTACACCTCAAGAATGGCAGGAAATCAGGTCAGTCGTCACCAGTGATTATGCAATTTCTGGTATTGACGCGCATCATGAAGCAATTCTCAAAGACATGTTCTCCGGAACTCATTTTTCCATGCAGGGTCTCAAGGAGAAGACAGCCACTATGCGTGGTACGAGACCAGGAGACCCTGTCGCGGATATTCTCTTCAACATGGCTTTTAAGCTGGTGGTGACGGATGCGAGACACAGGATCAACCTGTCGTCCGATTTACAGTGGTTTGGATCCCCAAAGCCCTCAGATGATGTCACCAGTGGTGCTCCAATTCCCGACAAAGGTTTTGCGGAGATCACGTTTGTTGACGATATCGCCTATGCCATCCATTCCACTTCTGCTGATTCTGTTTTGTCTTCTTTACAAACGGTAGCCTCATGTTTGCATGATGCAGCAGCAGCAAGGGGGCTTGTGATTAATTATCAAGCTGGCAAAACAGAGGCCATCATCAAGCTTGCAGGACATGGATCCAAAAGAACCAAGCACAAAGTATGGCATGAAAATTTCGGTAGACTTCCAATCCTTACCGAACATGGGTGTCAATATCTTAGGCTGGTTCATTCATACAAGCATTTGGGCTCTTTTGTGCAGGATCATGCTGTGATTCAGATGGATCTACGCTATCGCAATGCTCAAGCCAGAAAAGCATATGGCCAGCTTAGTCGTCCATTTTACTGCAAAAGAAATGTCAGTGATGCCACGAAGATTCCAGTTTTCTCAGCACTTGTCATGTCACGGCATGCCTATAATGTTCACACGTGGGCATGGGCAACCAAAGGTGACATTGAGCAGTGGCAAAATGGAATTCGCAATCAGGTTGCTGCGTTAGCAAGAAATAGGGTTCGGCCAATACCGCCCTTTCAGTTTACGACAGCAGAATTGTGCGCTCTAGTTGGCGTTCACAGCCCAGAAGACATGCTGCATGCGAGCAGATTGAGGTATGTCAAGCGGGCAATTCAGGTTGCTCCGAAGTGCCTGTGGTCCTTGTTGTATCAGAATACGCATGCCAATTCCTGGATATCCCATTTTCAAGACTCATGCAATTGGTTATGGGAACATGCTCCTGGTGCCAGACCGCAACTTTTTGAAGACGCAACCAAAGCGCTTTCCTTCATTGCACTGGATGTGAAGTGGTTAGAAAGAGTCCGATCCGCACTGAACTCATGTTTGCAGTTTCGAGCTGCACATGCAGAAGGAAAACTGTGGACGTTGCGAATGCAACATCAGTTGTCCAAATATGATGAGATTCCCAAATTTCACGTTACACAGAAGGATCAAGTATGGAAGTGTGGTCTCTGTGATGACAGTTTTGAAACCAAGAAAGCCCTGGCAGTCCATGCCCGGCACAAACACCAATATAAAACTATACTGAAGTATTATGTCCTCGGAGATCATTGTTTAGCATGTGGTAAGATGTTTTTCTGCCGCACTAGACTGCTGTCTCACGTGGGAAACTCTCAAACATGCAAGGCCACGTATTTTGCTTGTTTTGTTCCAGCGTCTGAGGATGCGGTTGAGCAGATAGAGCAAGAGGAACGTGAAAAGAATCGTCTACTCAAATCGCAAGGATGGCTTCCATCGAAAGCCTTTCTCCCAGCTACTGTTGTACAGGGCCCTCTTTTGCCACCACATGAAACAAGAGGGGCCCGTGATATGCAAAACAAGTGGCATATCCGGACGCAGTCGCCTGGTCGAGCTTTTGAAGGTTTAGATGGGTTTTGCGAACATCATGATGTAGCCCCGGCGCAAACAACAGAGGTTTTGCCCTTCCTGATGCAAACAAATGGTGGACACTTGCAAGGTCATGCAGGCGTTTTCCAGCAATATGGACTTGCCGCAGAGGCGGCCAGGTTGCATATCACCTGCCTGGTGTTTATCCATTTCTTTAGTGGATTTAGAAGAAGCGGCGATCTACAACATTGCATCGAACATCAAGCAGTTGAGGAAGGAAGACACATCTTCTGTATATCGGTAGACATCTGTTTGGCGAAGCAACATTCAGACTTGACTGATTCGAAGACGAAGCAATTCTGGATTAGCAGGATTCAAAGTGGCCAAATTCTTGGAATTGGCGGCGGGCCTAGCTGCGAGACGTGGTCAGCAGCACGACATGGCCCAGGAGGTCCGCCTCCTGTCCGCTCCTACGACCTTCCCTGGGGTTGCGTAAGCTGTCAAAGAGACAATGGCAGCAGGTGAGGACAGGAACGAAGTTGGTCCAGTTTCTGGTTGAGTTGCTTAGCTATGCAGCGTATTCAGGACTATGCGGGTTTTTGGAACATCCACAATTCGCGGTTTGGTTGATGAAACAAAGGCCTGCCTCCATTTGGTCTTTGGAGGTCATGCGTATTCTGGCACGATTAGAGTGTATGCAGATTTGCTCTTTTGATCAGTGCATATATGGACTTGACGCTACCAAGCCAACTACTCTCCTGTTGCTGCGTTTAGAAACATTCAAAGATGTGACCTTTACGAGGGGCAATCGAGGAAGATGCTCGCACAAGAATGGCCATCGCCCTTTGCAGGGAATTGAAGACGGGGGAAATTTCGCTACAGCCCGGGCAAAGGTTTACCCGAAGGCCATGAATGAAACCCTCGCACTTGCAGTGTCACGGTTTTTGGCTAACCGTCAGGTCAAAGAGTCCTGGCAACAGCTGCCTTCAGACCTGCAAGAACTAATTAGCAATGACTTTGTAGATATTTCCACTGTGCAGCCGGATTTCTACAGATAGCACTTGCAAGAGCCAAGCATGAACCTATGCAGCAAACGCAAAGTGGACAAAGCAAAGTGTATATGTGCGATTCTGGAACCCACAAGACCATGATGACTAATCTTCCACTTTGCTGATGAAGACTTTCAAAGCAAGGGTCATTTGGGTTTCCCATAGATTTTTGAAAGGTAGACCCCAAAAAGAAAAACATCACTAAACATCACAACGATTTGCCAATGATCACTTAAGTGTGACGGCGCTAAACCCTAACTTGGTCAGCTTGGTCGGGCCGCCCCGTGAATAGTCAGCTGACTACCCAAAATCAAACGTTAAACGTCAAAATGGCTCGAACGACTCCATGTCGGGATGTTTGGTGTATTTTGGCCGACATTTTCCAAGATGCTGGTATGACAGTTATGACATCCTAAAGTGGTGCTGATCTCTGTTTGGAAAAAATACCGGCTGTTCTGAAAAATGAATCTCCTCTCTAGTTGCTAGCCCTGAAAACTGCCTGCGAAATAACATAGATGCTGTTCTAGTCAGATAAGAATCAGAGAGACTAAGTTGTCCAGAATCATGAGTCCACTGGTTTTGCCATTTCCCATCGTGTGTTGTAGCCGCGGTTGAGAGCCAATTTTGTATTTTCACTTTAGATTTTTAAAACTCTTAAGCCCGAGCTCTTGCGACTTCTTGCGACTTGTACACGAATGTGGTAAAGCCACTACAAGGCATTCTGATGCATTCTGCAAAGTTCCAAAAACAAGAAATGGTACCATTCGGCAGCTGTCAATGCTATAACACTTAGTCTTTTGGCGCAAACCGAAGCCATCCCCAACTTCGCCAAGGCTCCAGGAGAACTGAGAGCCGCCGGCCCCAATCCTGGCGACGATTTCTGTGTCCCAATGATCAAGGTAGTGTCAAGATGTGTCAGGTATATCACCGTCCAGCCAGGAAATTGAAGTTTGCATGGTAGCATACTAAATAAGTTAAATAAGGGTATGGGTCAAAATTGGGCCCACCGCTTAAATGGGATTGTTGGCAAGCTAGTACTCAAAACGACCAGAATCTGTGGTTTACCGGGTCTTCAATTTCGACCGCCCGTATCAAGTGGCAAGCTTGATAGCATCTGTATAGCTCCCATAGGCGGATGGCTAGTAACCCGTGAGATTCTACGCTGCCCATTCTTGGTAGCTTATCGACCCTGCATTGTTGGCTATGTGACCAACTAGTATGAAACTTGCTAAGCTCATGTTCTGCGTCTTCGCTACTCGGTGTTCTTTCTTCAGAAATTCCATCGGCGAATCCCTGTGAAATCCCCATCCCCGCTCTCCTCTGCAGTAGAGCTATCGGCCAAAGCCACAGACACCGATGGCGCACAGTCCACCGTCACCTGCCACATCGCAATGTGTCTGGAGATACTCCGAGTTACTCAGCAGATTTCCAAGTGGATCATAAAGATCGTTTTTTATACAAGTGGTTTAACAGTTTAAACAGTTTAACCTTTCCTTCGTTCTTCCTCTACATGGTGTGCGTTTTTTCGACTTTCCGCGCAGTAATTACACTTGAAAAAAGTTCACCATCGGCCATGTGGCACCGTGACCGTGGATGGGTCTGGCTCAGGATGCCTAGGAAAATACCCAAAATGGTTTGTCAGTTTTTGGCCACTACATCAACAATTTACATCAATTTACTGTGCGGTGTCAATTGCTGTAAAAATAAGACATGTGATCTCAACAGACAGACGGATCTGTTTTGGAAAATCACCTCATCTTTCGCCAGGAATTGCACCAGAGGATGGCATACTATGGAAAATCACAATTTTCAATGGGTAAATCCACTATAAATGGCCATTTTCAATAGCTACGTTAAATTACCAGAGGGTATCACTTTTCCTGGCAACATCTGCCACCTTGCCAGCTGTTTTTTGAGTCCAAAGTCCCTCGATTTCACCTTAAATCACGCCGCACCGCGGCCTGCACTTGACCCGCATCTGACTGTGTCCAGCGTGGCTTGACCAAATCGCCTCGGGCGAAATACGATCACCACCGAAGCAACCAGCGAAGCAACCTTGCTGTGATGCTTGGCATCGTCATCAACTCCCAGGATGCGAAGGATGAAATGCCAACATACCGCTGATTGAAATCGCCTTTGGGATACCGGTACCCAAATGGATATGCCATCCAACATAGGACGTGACATTTCAGGGCCACCAGCACTTCCGTCTCGCCAGCACGCAAGCGACAGCTGCTGGTGGAGGTGGGGATGGCGTTCAGTTCAAAGATCACCTGGGCCAATCCGGTAGCAAAAAAAATCCCATGGCCCAATGGGGACAAAAAGTGATGACTAACCATGGGGCTTCCCATGGAATGTGCTCCCAATGTCTGCGCAAGTGCTGCCGATATATGGATGTTTTTGGGAAAAACAGTGGCAGTGTTTAGGTTTGGGATGATATTAATGATCGGTCGGCACAAGAATTACACGATTTACACGTCCCAGTTTAACAACCTCAATGATCTACCATGGACATCCATGGACCATGTTCAAGGTAACAATGATTCCCTACAATTTAAATTAAAGAATTCAGATAGACAGATATCAACAGATATCTACGTATATCTGCAGAATGGTCAAGCAATCCCCAGACAAACCTGCACCAACAAAAAGGCCAGGCAAATTTGGAAGAATAGGGTTTTTGGATGACTGTTTGGCAAGCTTGGGTATGGCTGGGATAAGGGTGTCATGATTGTGAATCCCGAACTCAAGGATCTTACTAGACTCTCATGATAAATCTGTACATCATGAGGATAAATTTAGAATTTAGCTGCCCCAGAAATAGGAGGAACTTGTCGAACATCTTTGCATCTAAAAATCGGCAGAAGCGGGTGTATTTGCTGGCACTTGGGGCTTTCCCCATCAATAGCATCGTCCTGTATGTTGTGCTTTTCATTTTACATGCCTTCAACATCCTTCAACAATCTTTGCATCACAATTTGCTGCCCCCCATCATTCAACTCCCAGTGGCTCGTCGATAGTCGAAGGGCCCACGCCCATCACTGCGCAGGTTTTGTTGCACACCATCCAACAGAAATTGGCGCTGAGACTCCGAGATGCGCTGCCTGGGGCAGAAAGAGAGCAGCTACAGCTACGTTCCAAGAGAATCTGCCCACAATGTCACTGACCCCACAAAGTCAAGATGCAACGGCTGCATTGACGCAGCGTTGTGGCAGGATCCGCACCAAGAAAAAGCGTCTGCTGTATTTGCTTGCCGTCATTCATCTGCTTTGACGTAATAGCCTGAAAAAAACATGGTTTTTGTTCTCTGTTCTTCATTTTGCTAAGCTAACGAGCAGACCAGATCTTAAATCATTTTGGGCCGCTTTCATCCGACTAGGTCAGTCCAGAAAAGGATGCAATGTGCGGCCATGTGAATCGATTGATCTTCAACTGATCATGCACCTGCGGATTCTTTTACACCATTGTGCAAAACTTGAATGGATTTTTCTGACCTGTTCATTTTCCTGAATTCTAAGAAACATTTCCGGAACCACTTCAGCATCTCTGTTCTTTGCTTCTCAATCTGGCTTCGCTACATGGCAATGGGATGCTGGAGCTGCAAGCTGCGTACAAAGCCATGAGTAAAGCACACATCGCTATCATCGTTCACCCCAAACAGAACATGGAAGACTAGAAGACTACAACCCTACAGCACCTACAACCAGACAACAAACCAAGATGTAGAAAGGGAAATCAGAGACTGAAGCATCAGTGGGAAGCTATGTCGCGGCTGCAAAGGAAACATCTCACAATTCTTTTCATTCCAGGGCGGACCTTTCCAGTTCCATCTGTGAAGATCTGCAGCACAAGATGTCAACCTGTCAACATGTCATCATTATGCCCATCTAGATTGCTATATAAAATATATGATTATAATTAATTATAATTGTTATCATATCATGCTCATTGGCTCCATCCATTCCATTATTCCATCATTGGCTCCATCGAGCAGATCAGTTTCGCACTTCTCCGTGAAGGCTCTGCAGCTCCGTTCATCATTTTGAGACTTGGGGACCTTCCATTTTGAGAAAGCCCTCAAGATTGCTTGCTGCGGGAATGCTGGCTGTGAATGGACAGAGTTCACCAGCCTGTCCAATATGAACAATCTGTGGACCAGCTGAATGCCGGGAAAAAGCAGATGCCAACACATCTCTTTTAGGTGGCTAATAGGTGGCTAAATTGGCAACTGGTTCCCTCTCTCTCTCTGTCTCTCGTATTTTTTTTAGTGGCCACTCTTTGTAATAGCCATCAGCTGATTTGCAGATTTGTTCTTTGAGAGCAACAAAAATGGTGCTGTACCCATGGAATAAAGCAATCCTATCTCGATGCATTGCAGTAGTTCATCCACACGCAAAAAAAACATCAGCTTGAAAATGTTGCAAATGTTATTCTCACTAACCAGAATTTATGGCGACAATGTGCGGTCTTCAGAATTCAGATATTTCAAACATATTTCTTAGTCGCCCCTGGACCTCTGAATTGCGTCTCCTGCTGCAGCCTCAACGCCAGCATCTCGGGTGAATCCGGCCGTCGCAGCTGCAGCACCAGCAGCACGAAGGGCACCGCCAGCGCCAGCCGCGCCAGGGCCATGTGGTGCCGGAAACCGACGGCCGCTAGGGCTAGGCCTCAATAGGAAAAGATAGACAAGTCACTTCAAGATACTTCAAGTAACTCAAGGTCAACCACGGACTAGTTAGTCTTTCTGTGTGTTACGGTGTTTTTATCTTTTTGGGGATGCTATTCCTACGTATAGTTTCCCTTTCTTGAATCCTAAGGAAGTTCTCGGGTGGCTTCTAACATCTCAGTAGTGTTAAGCTCCGAGTACGGGCGGGCCATTGGGGGCCTGGTCTGTGGTATCACTCACTGGCGGTGCCGGACAAGTCGGCCTGCACCAGGGCGGGCATGCTGCTGATGAAACCGATATTGCCATGGACTTTGGTCTGCGAAAGACGAAGCTCTGCGAGAGGGCTCGACAGCTCCGCGAGATCACCCCAAACCTGTGTCTGCCGAAAGGTCGAGGTGCTTGAGTCGCTTCAGCTTCGTGACATCACTGACATCACCCACAACCCGCGTCTGAGAAAGGAAAAGGATCTGAAGTGACTGCAGCTGTGACAGCTGCTCAACATTGCCCATGACCTGTGTCTGCGCAAGGTTAAGGTATTTGAGATTCTTCAGCTTCAATAGCTCTGCGATATCGCCGGTGACCTGACTGCCTTTAAGGTCCAGCTTTGTCAGTTCGGTAATCTCCCTGGTCATCTCCCTCACAGAACTCAGGTTTCCGGTCGCCTCAGTGCTGTGAATTTCGCACACATAGCAGTAGCATTCAATGCCCGGCCAATCGCATGGATCGCCTTCTCCCGAAAGCCCCAGGCCCTGCTGCCCTCGCAGCTTTTCTTGCACTTCTTCAGGGCACGATGCCTCGGCACATGTGAACTCGAAAGCCCGTTGGTGTCTGTGGCTTTAAATATCTTAAATCTTCAAGATTTTATCTTGGAATCTTCAAAATATGTGGACTCCGCTTCTCAAAGGTCATTCACGGTCATTCGTGATTGAGAAAGCCTTTTGTGCCAATTTTCAACTTGCCATGTCCCTGGCCTCGTTGCTTTCCAGAGAGCTGTGCCCAAGTTCCTCGGTCGAGTTCACGCGAACGGGCGCTTGACCATATCAACATGTCAAACTTGGAAGCCCAGAAACCTACCAGATGTAAGGGTCTGAAGGCCTCAATCTTTCTGCATGTTCAGTGTTCTTGGTCTTGGGGTCTACAGGAAACCCTGAACATCCACAGTCGTTTTACCCAAATCAATTGCTCCGGGCTTCTTCGATGGATGGACGGACAGCAGCACACAGAAACCATAGCTGTGCAATGCAAGGAAAGGGGCTCAAGCCCATGACATTTAGCAAAACGTCAACATTTTGAGCCAACCTGTGGCTTCGGGCAACACTGTAAGGCCACATTGAAAATGCCGAGAGTCATCGAGAGTCCCACATCTTTATCCCTACCATGTAAACCCGTAATCAACCATCCCCAATTATCGTTTGGGGACCATTTTGCATCATGGTATACCAGCCCAAGTTCATAACCCTCATGGGGATGGGATGGTTTCTGGATGTTTCTGGTCAGTTTACCGAAGTACAGAGATCCGACTCCGGTGCCAGAATGGCCAGCGGATCTCACATTTTCTGCGGACATCCCAGCGGAGTTGTGGGGTGAAACCCATGCCCAGGTCTCCGTGCCAGGGCTACGCAAAATGGCACCAATCTCCAAAATCCATCCTGAAAGCTAAAAGGTTGCCATGAAACAAAAGAAACTCATGGTGGAGTTTGGATGAGTTTGGAACGTCACACAGAGAACTCATGTCACTTCAGAATCAACGGGCAATGGCAGCTTGCCTGGCAACAGTCTGAGAGAAATGCGAACACTTGAGTTACTGACATTACGCCAAGCATCGACGCATCGAGGACAAGGACATTCCATCACCATAAGTTATATAGATACATAATACATATACATCATATACATAATAAGCTATAGGCTATCGTGCTATCAGTATACAATATTCAACAGACATCAAACACGACGAAATAAGTACATCAAAAACGGAATGGACACGCACCAACGGTCAATTGCCGTCCTGTTGACGCTTCATCTGTGTCTTTAGGAACCGGTGCCTCTGAATCAAGGAACGCAGACACCAAACGCCGCTCAAATGGCATCCTTAAAAACTTATAACGGATCATCCCTGTCGGAATGGGTGCCTGGCGGATCAAAAGGTGGCACAGCTGTACACATAGGCATCTAGGCATCTATTCACTAAAAGAGTGCACGACTGCGCCACAGGCCGCTCAATTGGCATCCTTATAACGGTTCGATGTCTTTTGAAATGTGGGCTGTGCAGCACTAGCCAGCTAGTGCTGCACAACTAAGGCCCTTTTGTGTCCACACAACTAAGGCCCTTTTGTGTTGAAGTCCTCGAGGTGAACTATTCGAGTCCTGCCCCAGAACTCCTCAAGGCCCATGGGCAAATTATTGGTCACCTTCCCGGCGCCACTCTTGTACCATGACACGCATCGCTGGTCATCCCAG